CCTTCCATCGCGAGTTCGCCACCGCAAATCTCCTCCGCCACTACTTGAGTTCTCCGACCCACCTCTTTCACTCCACTACCGCCGCAGCCATTCTCCGTCACGTACCGACTCGCTATCCTTATTCACATCCCCTCACCTCCTCCATCTAATTCTCTCCTCACCGACAGCCATCCTTATTCCCCCCAAATCTAATACCCCTACCTCAAGGGTCTGCACCAACTTCATCTACCCTTCTCTCCCTCCAGCGCCAACTCCCACCACTTCTGTCAGGTTCACTCGCTATCGTCGGTGCCGCCATCGTCCATCCTCAAGAGTCCGCCTCTCTTTCGATCGGTTCGTCTTCTTGTGGATTCTCCGGTCATTTGTCTTAAACGCTTGATAATGGCTTTCATGTACTCACTTATATATAATTTCTCTGGCAGATAGCGCCTTTGGACTCTCGTATTCCTCCGATTTCGATCGGACATAGATTTATGTTCATATCCATTCTAACAGCTTCTCTTGCGGTACCTGTCAGCTCGGAGAGTGCGAGGAAGGTGGAGGAAGCTAAAGCGGATGGAGGCGAGAAGTCTGGTCGAAGAAGAAGAAGTAACGGGAGAGGCGGCAGAGTGCTGTTAGTCGGAGAAGGAGGAGGTGCCTCCCTCCTATTCACGATTAACGATTTAAGGTTTGAATTTGGGGATTTTGGGTTCAAAAGAGGATTTTTTTTAATCTGTTAATTTTTATTTTTATTTAAATATAAAATTAAAATAGTCTATTTTAATGACGTGGCATGCCACATCAGTGGTTTTTTTCGGAGTCACTAATGGAATAGTGTTTGACCGTTAATATTAACGGTCAAAGAAAATTTTGGGCCAAATTGGTCCAATAGTTTTAAAAGTAGCCCATACATGTCTTATTTGAAAAATGGGGCCAGAACTGTCACTAACGCTAAACTTCGGGCCAAACTAGGGTATTAACCCTTTATATAAATATATAAAATATAATTAGAAGGATTCATTGGTTGGACTTGGGGCATACCTAATTTGATTGAATAATTGATCGTTTTTCTTGAATGCTTATTGCAACCCGATTTCTTGAATGTTGAAACAGAAAGAAGAGTTGTGATGGTTGTTTATTAATTTTATGTTCATGATTGACATGCTACTAGCTAGCAATACAATGATGATCTGTTTAGTAATTAGTAGGTAGCAAAGAGGTTATAAGTAGAAGGGAACATAATTGGGGTTTTATAAAGGTCGCGAAGAAGAAAGAAAATGATAATGGTGGTTTCTCGGTTGTCTATTTCGATGTTTTTTTAATTTCTACATGTTTGCGGTGACATTTGTTTGTTTCATTAAGGTGAATTTTTCCGCATTGAATCCCTAACTAAAGCTTGATTTTGACATAATTGTTTTCTTACAAACTATTATATGTTGGATTGATGCATATATTCAGTTCACAAATGAGGAATCTGCATAATAAAATAAGTTGAGTTGTATTGAAGACTGCTCCTTTCATTATTTTTCTATGTTGTTATTAGGTAAAAATCACAATTCTTTTCTGCAGGAGATATGTAGCTCTCTACAGCTGATAGTTTTGTTTGTGGGTGGTTTTCTAGAACATTTCAAGGTAATTAAACGAGTACGTGGAAGATTGATGGACGTGGATGCTAATGAGTTTCCTCATTATTCTAAAGTTGTATGTGTAAGTGATAACACACGATATTCATGAGATTCAGATCGGAATATTCTCTATTATCGTATAACGACATATGATAAGGGAGAGAAAATAAAAAGTTCTTCGCTTATTTTTTTTTTGTTAATTGAAGCATATTTTCTTATTCTAACTTCTTCTTTTGTGGTTGTAAATTTTTTAACTTCTTTATCACAATTGTGTGCTAAAGAATGAATAACTCTTATGTTTATAATCTTAAAGGGCGAGTTCGATAAAAAAAATTCTAAATCAACAAAGAACAATCTACAAAGAGCTCAGTTAATAAAATTGAAATGTTCATAAATAAACAAAAGGTATAAAAGTATAAAAAAATACCTGAAATAAGGTAAGTGGGATTTACAATTATATATATATATATTACCTTAACAAACATAAATAATAATAACAATCAGAATACTATAACGAATTATAATATAACCAAACAAAATACACTGCGCAACGGGCGGGTAAAAAACTAGTTCTAAATTTAGAGAGATAGTGAGATACACATCGTTTGGTAAAAGCTAATAACGAACTTGAAAATAGATAGGGTATGTCTATGGTGACATGCACGTCATCGTAACTTGCACTTTTAGGTCGACCTCATATAAGTTTTGGTCGACCTAATCTGTACTTTTAGGTCGACCTTATATAGGATTACGTCAACCTAATATGTCGTTAGGTTTCCGAATACACTAATGTGGGCACCCTGATGACTTATCAGGGTCCACCTTAAAATGTAGTGGTAGACCGTTTGTAGTTTAAGTTGTCATTATTCCCGACCACAATAAATCATCGGTCGCCCTTTTCATTGGCGTTAGAAGCAAAATGGTCGACCGTAAAGGTATATAGGTCGACCACTTGATGGCGGTCATTAACAAAATGGTCGACCATTTAGAGAAAGAGGTCGACCAAATAGAAGAGATGTGTTGTATCCATTTATCCATCATCATTTGATGTAAAATGAAGATCAAGTGTTTGTTTCGCGGTCGACCTAATCCGGTACGAGGTCGACCAAATACAAGAAAATCAACCTATGCCCTGCGCCTTTTTTTCTTATGTATGTCGATGTGGGTGGTTCTTTTGCTCGTTTTCATGGTTGTCACCCCGGCCGGCGTGCCACTGGTTGAACCTGGTTCAACCTATAACGGTCATAAAACCGGTATGATACCACTGGTATCACCGGCATGATCGATATACGAATCTTCAAATAAAATGATCTTATCTTAGTGAATTTAATTGATAAAAGTAATTTATTATTTATTTTATGTGTTAAAAAGTTAAATGTTGATGTTATTTGTTGGATTCAAGTACAAATATTTAGGTATTGACGTTAAATGCCGTGTTTAAATATGAGTATTTGTAAATTATTTGTAATATTAACCGGCATGAACTGGCACAAACCTGTATGTACCACCGGTCGAACCATTCCACTTGCTAAACCAGCACACTGGTACAAACCGGTTTGACAGCCTTACTCGTTTTACTTAAAGGGTTTGGTGGCCTACATTAGGGTATACGGTAGGACTTATTAGGATATTTCCCTCCGTCGATCAACCGGCCAATGATATTTTCCTTCCGTCGATCAACCGGCGATTGGCCAAGTTGAATTCTATTTGCCACTCCCATCGCCGCTCTTCCTGTCTTCCGATTGGCGGCCGACCAATTCCAGTTGAATCGTTTCCCTTGCAAATTGCGTCAAGCATACCAACAGATCATCATAGTCACCATAGGTGTTTGACGCCATTGACGGTGGAAGGACTCAGAGGTAGTGGATTCGCCGATTGACACCGGCTGCCACCGTCTGAATCCGGCGAGTCTCCCGCTCCTCTAGCTGCCCAAGCTCCCACCGGTACCATTCCTTCATCTTCACGATCAAGGGTTTAGATTATAGAACGAGGGAAAAATATAGTGGATTCTATGGAGGGATTTTTGGGTGGATCATGTCTTCGCTAATGCTTCTTCAACTCTTCACTGGACTCAGCTAATCAATCAGCTGACCCCATAGCTCCGTAGATGAAGATTCAAATCATTGAGGAGAAAAGGGGGAACTCCTCTCGCTTTCCCGCCGTGTATGACGAGGTAAACTTTTCCCCAACCTATCTCTTATGTTACCCTATTTGGATTGAGGACGTGCAACTCGACATGAGTTTACTTTAGGAATTCTGGAAAGTCTTGACTTTCGATTGGATGCTTGCTAAAAAGCTCAAAGTGGTTCATGCCAAATATGCAAATTAGTTGTGTCAGATTTTCTTGGAGAGACATTACACGATTTACACTGCCTCATTGAGGATGACAAGCCGCAACCTGTCCAGAAATTGGGGATTGGAGGAGGTTTGAGGAAACAAAAGCCCCACTCAAAACCCTGAAGCGGGTTGAAGCTAGCCCGGCAACTTGGCGCCTTTGATTGCTTAAGTAAGATGACTGGGATTTGTACTTGTACGAATATGAATTACGAGGAGCACCTGCTGTCTTAAGTTCTAATTTTTTGTTGCTGCTATGTTTAGCTATCGGGAAGGGCAATTAATCCTTTAATTAGGAGCTGGTGCTAAGTACTTGACAATTTTTTTCAAGAATATGTTTCTTGAACTTTGTTGGACAATTAAGGTGCTTTGTTAACTTGAACTTAATTTAAAGCTCAAAGGCCACCAGGTATATAGTGTTAATCTAGAGCCAACAACAGAGCCTTGGTTCTAGATTCATGTTTATATACAGTTAATATAAATGGTTATATTACATCCTTTTTACTTTCTGTGTTATTTCATTCATGTTGATAACCAGGATAAGAGATGAAGGGTAAAAGGGGTCATGGTGCCTCTGACCCATAATTCATTCTGCAACTCTTTTTGTGTACTACTAGGTTAGTATACGTCTGCTGGCATATTTGATGGATGGGGAAGGCATCATTTAGTGCTGAGACCAGAATTAGACACAAGAAATGGCAGCTGTAAGTTGAAGATGTGCAGAAGTCTAGAAATAAGATGTTTGCTCATCCACTATTACAGGGTTTTCCAGTTCTCCGCCAATGATACGGTATGGATGTGCCATCGATATGAGACTGCCAAAAACTTTATTATGCTATGGCTAAGAATTTCTTACAAGTTTTAAAATGTCAGTTTCATAGAAGTCTTTCAATATAACTGTTGTAATATTGCTTCACTGTTTCATATTCATGATATGTTTCATTAACCTATCCATAATAATTTAGTTATATTAGTTTCAAATTCAGTTTCATTATGGTTATTATCATATCAAATAGTGGAGGAAAAGCTTCAAAAGCATTTCGCTTTGGGTCACTGGAAAGAACCCCTATCCAACTGTCTATTAACTGGAAGGCTCAAGAAAGCTTTAAAAATTCCACTACTACCAGATCTGGATCCTATTCCTTGGTGGGATGATATATATACTCACTCTGCTCCTATATGGTCCAACATTTTCCTATCCTTCAATACATACATACTAGTACAGGTGTAATGTCCAGTACTCCACTCAGAAAGAAAGAATTGTCCTTCGATGATTCAAAAGTAAGACTTCTAACAAATATGAAGATCTTTACTAGGATAACCTATTATATAGGTGGTTAACAGTTAACACATTGAGATTTAAAATGTATATCATGGTATCCCGCCGCAGAGCTCGGGCCATTACACTAGTAATGTATAAAAATTAAAAAGCCATCGAAGGCACAACCGAGTAGTAGTAATATCTTCCATTCTTCGGATTTGGTGGAGGGTTTTATGTGGGAATCTTCTGTGTTCACTCGTTGTTGCCTCTATTTGTAGAAGCTTGAAGGCAAGCGTGGCTTAACCAGAACTTCAAGCGGGGTGGCTCTGCTAACAGAAAGCCCAGGAGCTGCAGTCATGTCGACTGGCTCCCCAGACATGGTTGAGATCTCAAATGCTTGCAGCAAACTTGCAAGAGCCAGTTCAGTCATCTGAATCCCGAAGTTGATTCCAGGGCACGACCTTCTTCCTGCACCAAATGGGATGAGCTCAAAGTGCTGCCCTTTCACATCGAGGTCTTTGTACTGTGCGGTAAGGAACTTCTCTGGCTTGAACTCCATAGGGTTTGACCACACCTTGGGATCAGTTTGTAACTTGTAGATGTTTACTAGTAGCCGAGTCCCAGCCGGGACATGGTACCCAGCTACTGTGCAATCCTTGGAGAATTCCCGGGGGCCTCCAATTGGACCTGCTGGGTACAGCCTCATCGCTTCCTTTAGTATGGCTTGGAAATAGGGAAGCTTGGCAATGTCTGATTCATCCACCAGCCTCTCTTTGCCCACGATCTCGTCGAGTTCTTCCTGCGCCCTAGTTAAGGTGCTTGGATTGTTCAGGAGAAGGGATAGAGCCCAGGTTAGGGTCACGGTTGTGGTATCAGTGCCACCAATAATGAGAGTCTGCCAAAAAAAGAGGCGGGAATTCAGTTACATGACTTGAATGTATGGAATTCACATGTTTTCAGTAGCTTACTACCATGGCTGTGGATTTGCAGACTGTGTCTAGATCGTAACCATTAAGGTCGACATCTTTCAAGACTGAGAGCAAGACGTCTATGAAGTCTTGTTGCTGTTCATCATCAGACGATGTTGTTTCCTTCTTGTTACGATGCTCCTCAATCCATTCCTCGGCGAGGCTGTTCAGATCATCATTGAGTTTCTTCATGGCCTTCTCATGCCCTCCTACGTCTAGAAACCCAAGAAACGGGAACATATCTCTCACAACAAGCTGCCCTGCATAATGGAAGAAGTCTCTCATCAGCTTCCTGCATCTCTCAGCCTGCTTCTCGTCCTCTACAGCAACACTGCCGAAGTACCTCTTCCCTGCTACCATCCCTAGTATGACGTTCAAATTCATGTCCCCAAACCACTTGTTCATCTGAGCATAAACTTTGATGTCTCCAGTTCTGTTGTTGTGCTTCTCCCACACCGTGTACAGATCCTTGATGGCTGCTTTCACTTCCGAAGTCCTGACATGTTTCAGCAGGTCAAGCCTTCGGTTGGACAGCAGCTCCAGGGCAGTTATTTTCCTCATCTGGCGCCAGTACTCCCCATAAGGAGAGAACCCAAAGTTGGCGCTGTTGTTGCCTAGAATCACTGAAGCTGTGAGATTGGGGCGAGAAGATATGGCTGCGTCGTGAGTGGTGTAGAGTTCTTTAGCCAGTTCTGAACTACTGACCACCAGATTTGGGAACAGACCGATCCTGACCATGAAAATTGGCCCATATTTGTCAGCCAACTCTGCAAACTTCAAGTGGGGAAGTTCAGCTCCTCGCAGCGAAAGGAGGTGCCCGATGACCGGCCAGGATCGCCCTGCTTCTGGCACTTGTTTCCCTTTTCCTGATTTGGGTCTCCTGAAGAGGAAGTAAGAAAGCAGAAGAACCACAGCAAGTGCAAGAGTTGCAGTGTTCATGAATGGAAAGAAGAGTTCCATTATTGCAGATTAGTTAGCAGCAAAGCAAGTACGTAGCTTTAGGCTAGAAGAGTGGACTGCTGTTGTTGAGAATTTGAGATAGGATAAGGAAACGACAAAGAGTGGACTGCTTGTTTCCCTCTCTAAATGCTGTCCACTCAATTTGCCTACCCGACGTAATTTTCTATCTTCTTCCCTCATGATTGCTTTTGGGAGTGAAAAAGAATAGAAGCTCAGAGTCAGAAGCTCGATCCACTGGTTTATGTTTCCGTTATTTTCCCACGATCTTTGTGGGGGTGGCCGTCAGTTGGAACTGGAGGTGCGGGTGCCTGAAGCCTCAACCCGCTAATCATATTTTGTCTACGGTGAATCTCCTGGAAGCATAACTGTACGCTCTTAATCCTTCATTACCTTATATTATTTATGTTTATTTCCTCAGATTCCCTGATTTGATAGGATTAGCGAGGGATTGGAGAAGAACAAAATTTGTAGGCTTTGTTCTGGTCTCATGGGATTGCAAACGCTCTTTCCCTGTCTAATGATCTTGCTTTCTCTGTTTCTTGGATGTTAGCGATGCGGTTCTGCTTACCAGAGTCTCCCTGGTCGAAGACCGTTAATTTAAGATGACTGGTTTTGACTCTTGGCTACATTTCCACTTTGTGTCTCTGAATCTCCTCCCGCAATTTTTGTTGTTTCTTGGTTACTAGAACATGGGTTCTTCTCTATCGTCGCCACCAACCTTTCTCCCACTTTGATAAGTTTCTCTTCTCTTTTTCTTTTCCTTTCCAGATTAATAATAGAGGGTTCCCATTTGTTCCGACCGATCAAGTTGATGAGGCGATGTATCTGGAAGCTATAGGGAGGGTGCGAGGAAGAAGCAGATTCACAGATTTTGTTAGAGGTAATTGTTCCTCTCTCCTTCTAGTTGCTGAGTTTTCTTCTCATTTTTCTTAAGACGGTTTGTTGTCTTGGCAACTTGATCTCAGAAGAATGGATGATGATCATGATAGGATGTTGTAACTCAGGGTAAGACCAATGTCGACCAGGTAGTTTATAGGCATATTATGTGGAGAAGTCGATATGGTTTGGGCATGGCATTTCTATAAGCTCCCATACTTTCGATTTTAGTCTTTGTTTTTGCCGTGAGACCACTGGAGCTTGCACATGAGGAGCCAAACTATACAAGGGATCAGCAACCTCTATGTTAATTGCCGTTAGTTTAAGACCATTTGGAAAAAGTATACGAGAGTCCTGCATTGAATTGAATTCCTCAAAACAGAGGCACTTACAATAAAGTAAGTTGTTTTGCCTTGTAATTTCAACCATTTTACAGAAGCTAATACCAGCCAGCCAGTGCATACCTTATCTCTTAGAGTTATGCCATTACCACAGCCACACAGAATGCAAGTTGGTAGGAAAGAAATACTTTTTTGGGGGGATAATGGTGCAACCATTTTATTAAAAAAAAAAAAAAAGATACAAATGATTCTGATATGCAACTGATGGGCAGGGGCGCACCCTTATTTTTTCAGCCCAAAAGGCAAAAAGTACTTAAACCCAAAATTAGTTTTGTGTTTTTGTTTTGTTGACATTTCATTGGCACTCTGCAGATGCAAGAACGCTAAGGGCCTGGCTTCCCGAAATTTGGGAGTTTAGAACCAAGCATTGCGAAGGTGGAGATATCCCACGAGAAAAGAGGTATTTGCTTGCTGTAGTGATTCTTCCCATTCGGTAGTATTACTTGTTGAGCTTTCAGGGCGTTCATGGTGCTACATCTCTGTAACATATCGTTTTTCCGATTGTAGTGCTCTTCAAACTTCACTTCATTCAGGATACGAGAAAATACAGTATGTAATGTATGAAAGACATTGAAGGCACAACCAAGTAGTAATAATATCTTCCATTCTTCGGATTTGGTGGATTTTTTATGGGGAATCTTCTGTGTTCGCTCATTGTTCTATCTATTGGTAGAGGCTTGGAGGCAACCGTGGCTTAACCAGAACTTCAAGCGGGGTGGCTCTGCTAACAGTCAGCCCAGAAGCTGCAGTCATGTCAACCGGTTCACCAGACGGGGTTGAGATCTCAAAAGCTTGCAGGAAACTGGCAAGAGCCAATTCAGTCATCTGAATGCCGAAGTTGATTCCAGGGCACGACCTTCTTCCAGCACCAAATGGGATGAGCTCAAAGTGCTGCCCTTTCACATCGAGGTCTTTGTATGGTGCAGTAAGGAACCTCTCTGGCTTGAACTCCATAGGGTTTGACCACACCTTGGGATCAGTTTGTAACTTATATAGGTTTACTAATAGCCGAGTCCCAACTGGGACATGGTACCCAGCTACTGTGCAATCCTTGGAGAATTCTCGGGGGCCTCCAATTGGACCTGCTGGGTAGAGCCTCATTGCCTCCTTTAGAATGGCTTGGAAGTAGGGAAGCTTGGCAATGTTTGATTCATCCACCAGCCTGTCTTTGCCCACGATCGCGTCGAGTTCTTCCTGCGCCTTAGTTAAGGTGCTTGGATTGTTCAGGAGAAGGGATAGAGCCCAGGTTAGAGTCACGGTTGTGGTATCAGTGCCTCCAACAATGAGAGTCTGCCAAAAAAGAGGGGGAAAAAGAGGTGAGAATTCAGTTACATGACTTGAATGTATGGAATTCACATGTTTTCAGTAGCTTAATTATTACCATGACTGTGGATTTGCAGACTGTGTCTAGATCGTAACCATTGAGATCGACATCTTTCAAGACGGAGAGCAAGACATCTATGAAGTCTTGTTGTTGTTCATCATCAGACGATGTTGTTTCCTTCTTGCTACGGTGCTCTTCAATCCATTCCTCGGCGAGTCTGTTCAGATCATCACTGAGTTTCTTCATTGTCTTCTCATGTCCACCTATGTCCAGAAACCCAAGAAATGGGAACAGATCCCTCGCAACAAGCTGCCCTGCGTAATGGAAGAAGTCTCTCATCAGTTTCCTGCATCTCTCAGCCTGCTTCTCGTCCTCTACCGCGACACTGCCAAAGTACCTCTTCCCTGCAACCATCCTTAGTATGACGTTCAAATTCATGTCCCCGAACCATTTGTTCATCTGAGCACAAACTTTGCCGCCTCCAGTTCTGCTGTTGTTCTTCTCCCACAGTGTGTACAGAACCTTGATTGCTGCTTTCACTTCTGAAGTCCTGACATGTTTCAGGAGGTCAAGCCTTCGGTTGGAGAGCAGTTCCAGGGCCGTTATTTTCCTCATCTGGCGCCAGTACTCGCCGTAAGGAGAGAACCCGAAGTTGGCGCTGTTGTTGCCCAAGATCAAAGAAGCTGTGAAATTGGGGCGAGAAGATATGGCTGCATCGTGAGTGGTGTAGAGTTCTTTAGCCAGTTCTGAAGTACTGACCACCAGAGTTGGGAACAGACCGATCCTGACCATGAAAATTGGACCATATTTGTCAGCCAACTCTGCAAACTTCAAGTGGGGAAGCTCAGCTCCTCCCAGCGAAAGGAGGTGCCCGATGACTGGCCATGATCGCCCTGCTTCTGGTACTTGTTTCCCTTTTCCTGATTTGGGTCTCGTGAACAGGAAGTAAGAAAGCAAAAGAACAACGGAAAGTGCAAGAGTTGCAGTGTTGTTCAGGAATGGAAGTAAGAGATCCATTGCAGATTAGCTAGCAGCAAAGCAAGTAAGTAGCCTTGTTGTCTGAATATGGATTTGGATTGGATTCTCCATCATTTTGTAGGTTATCATGTTTATGAAACTCTATTTGCCCACTTATACAGAGGATGCCCAATGAAAATTTAACACATATTTTAAATTGTTGATGAAGCATGAGTTGGTCATGAATTCCGGCTGCTGTCTATTTGGGCTTTTCTTGACCGAGCAGCTATTAAAGAAATTTTCATCTGCTGTCACAGTGCCAATTTTTCTTCATGGGATATTGTTAATTTATACAATTAGAGTGTTTAATAACTAAAATATTACATTTTAACAACATCCTTATCGATTCTTAGTCGTGGATAGTGGAGTTCTTTGACTAAATTGATCAAGCTATAGGCTAAAAGAGTGGACTGCTGTTGTTGAAATACTATAAGGAAACGACAAATGATGGTTACTCTTTTCAAGTTTCTTACGCTGGCAGAGATTAGGATTGAAGATTAATTTGTTGGGAGGATAAACATTAAGGATTAAGACCATTTGAAAGTAAACAAGAATTCTGTTTATTGGGACCAAAATAGATTTTTGAGTTTTCTAATTCTATCTACTGTTAGTTCATTGAATTGAATTCATCAAAACAGAGGCCTTTACAACCTTAGCTTGGGACATGAAAAGACTGGACTGGACAGCCTGGGGACTGATCTCTTATGAGTCTTGGGATTATACCTTTACCACAGCCACACAGAACACAAGTTGGTGGAAAATAAATACATTGCAATTCATAATTCATATACTCTTTTCATATAAATATGAGATCTTCTGCAGATTCGTTACAAGTTTTCCATTTTCAAGCGTTGCTGTTAGACAATTAGTAATTTGGGGTTTATTTGTTATTTTGACGTTTTATATTATGTCGGCTATTTTGGGAACTATTGGGGTTAAATCGGTTAGGTTAAGTCTTTGGGTATCTAGAGGGAATTAGTCGGTTTATATATATTATGTGTTAGGCATAAGTTAGGGTTAAGCAATAACAACAGAGTTATTCCCTAAGCTCTCTCTCTCCCTATCGTAGCCGAATCCCCTCATCCCCTCTCCAGCTCGTCGGCCACCATCCCGGTGCCCGGAATCCTCTTCTCTCAACCCTAATTCCCAAATTCTACCTCATCCCAAATCCCTAATTCACATACCCAATCACGTTCTTCAATCGCACACCTAGATCCGTGCTCTTTCAGTGGTATCAGAGCCTGGCTGGTGTGCCGATTCTCTGAAGAAATACTGCAGTCTGACGATGTCGAACCCCGCGGACAAACAACAACCGCCGCGCCAGGCCAAAGAGGTGGTGACAGTCAAGGATGTGACGAACAACAAGTATGACGCGCTGGCATCGTCGTTGGAGAGTCTGACCGAGGTCACTGTGAGGGCAGCGGAGGCCTCGAAGGGCTCGATCGGAGCCATCGAAGCTATGGGCGACCAAATCAAGGCCTCCATCGAAGAGATGAGCAAGAGTGTGGCTGAAAACATCTGCGGAGCCTTGGCGGCGACAATGCAGGAGGTGCTAACCCAAGTCCTGAAGAACAGGGAGCCGCTGGCGGCTCCGGCTATAGGGGCGGCGCCGGCAGCAGCAGCCGCGGCGGGAGTGAAGCCGGCGGAGGCAGCCGCGAGCTTGGGGGCGCCGCGCGGCGTCGCGGGCGTAGGGCAGGCCGGGGCGCGCGCGCGCCGGGAGGAGAAGGTGGCGGAGGAGAAGCCCCCGGGCGGCGGGGCCGAGGCCGGGACGACGTAGGAGCTGGCCGCGTCGGGCAGGGCGCCGGGAAACTCGGGCGCCAGGTCTGCAACCGCGCCTGCATTCAGCGGGCCTGGCTTGCTGCCAACTCCGACGGACCCGGCCAAGACAAGGCCCAGGGAAAGCAGAAGATGGCCGGGTACGAAGGAGAGCCATTGTCGTTTGGGCCTGACAGAGAAGAACCCTGGCCCGAGGAGGAGTTGAGTTTTGGTGACCCGGAGGGATGGATAGACCCGAGCCCAGAGGAGGCGAGATGGGGCTGGATCGCGGGACCGAAATCGGGTTGGTTGCAGGGTGGGCAGCCGGTCGGACCGAAACCGGTCGGACCGAACCGATCCGATCCGGGTCATCTGCAGACGGGCAGCAGCTGGTATAGACCGAGCAGAGGTCCCGGCAAGGGCCCGGAGTACGGGTACCCCCCATGGAGTACACCGCGGACAGGAGGAGGGCGCGGTCGAGGTTGGCAGGATATTGGGCGAGGGTCGGGGACCAAGCCTGAGTACCAGGGGAACCATCAAGAGGTGACGGGCGACTGGCCCTAGCCTCCCCAGCAGCGAGCCGCGGGCAGCCACTATCGTCAAGGATCGAGGAATCAGCCACCGCCACCGAATACAGGCAGGTATGAGTACCATAACCCTCTGTATGAGACTGAAGAGGAATTGGTATTTAGAGCTAAACCGCCAGTGATAGAATTTTCCAAATTCGACGGCTCGGGAGATGTGGGTTTGTGGTTGTATGCAGCTGAGAGGTGGTTCAGAAACCACCCGATCCGAGAAGAGAGGAAGGCGCACCTGGCATCCTTCTATCTCGAGAGGGATGCGCTCCAGTGGTGGGAATGGATCGAGAGGGCCTATGCAGCGGCAGGTGAGTTCATCTCGTGGCCCAGGTTCCAGTATGAGCTACGCTACCAGTTTGGCAAGGCGGAGGGATGGGCCCCGGAACAGCTGGCCAAGCTCAGGCAGACAGGGTCGGTGGCCGAGTATCGCGCGGAGTTCCTTAAACTGGGAAACCAGTGCAAGGAAATGACGGAGGAGACCCTGGTGGGATTGTGTATGGCGGGACTCCGCCCAGAGCTGGCAACCGCAGTTAAGGTTTTCGAACCTGACTCTCTTCGAGTTGCTTTCAGGATTGCAGGGCACAAGGAAGAGGAGCTGGCTAGTTGGAGGACGTCGGCTGGGCGTATCCAGAAGGCCAGTGGAGGAGTGGGAGCAGGAGCTGGTACCTCACCGCCGTCGGGAAATGCAAGCCCGGCGGCCACCGGCGCAACAACAGCGAGCAGATTCCAGTCGAGGCTGCCACCAAAGGGGGTTGTCCGGCTGACGCAGGCGAAAATGGACCAGAAGCGCAGAGACAGTCGTTGCTTCAACTGCGACGAAAGGTATACAGTGGGGGCATCAATGCGCCAAGGGTCATCTCATGCTGCTGGTGGGGAACTGGGAAGATGAAGGAGAGGAAATGAAGGCGCGAGAAGCGGAAGAGAAGAAGGAAGAGAAGAAAGAAGGTCCACCTTGAGGGCAAGGTGGGTTTCAAGGGGGATGGAATGTCAGACAATTAGTAATTTGGGGTTTATTTGTTATTTGACGTTTTATATTATGTCGGCTATTTTGGGAACTATTGGGGTTAAATCGGTTAGGTTAAGTCTTTGGGTATCTAGAGGGAATTAGTCGGTTTATATATATTCTGTGTTAGGCATAAGTTAGGGTTAAGCAATAACAACAATATTATTCCCTAAGCTCTCTCTCTCTCTCTCCCTATCGTAGCCGAATCCCCTCTTCCCCTCTCCAGCTCGTCGGCCACCATCCCGGTGCCCGAAATCCTCTTCTCTCAACCCTAATTCCCAAATTCTACCTCATCCCAAATCCCTAATTCACATACCAATCACGTTCTTCAATCGCACACCTAGATCCGTGCTCTTTCAGTTTCCCATCTGCTGGTAGAGGTTTGCAGGCAAGCGGGGCCGGACCAAGACTTCGAGTGGGATGGCTTTGCTGACAGTCAGCCCGGGTGCAGCAGTCATATTGACTGGTGCATCTGATGGTTTGTAGATATCAAACGCTTGCAGGAATCTTGCGAGAGCCAAGTGAGTCATTTGAATGCCGAAGTTGATTCCAGGGCATGATCTTCTTCCAGCACCAAATGGGATGAGCTCGAAATGCTGCCCCTTCACATCAACATCCTTGTACCGTGTCATAAGAAACCTCTCCGGCTTGAACTCCAATGGCTGTGGCCACACCTTTGGATCCCTTTGCACTTTGTGGATATTCACCAAAAGCCGAGTCCCGACTGGTACATGGTACCCAGCTACAATGCAGTCCTTGGAGAATTCCCGGGGGGCTCCACAGGGACCCGTTGGGTACAACCTCATTACCTCCTTCATCATGGCTTGAAAATAGGGAAGCTTGTCAATGTCTGATTCATCCAGCACTCTTTCTTTGCCAACGATCATGTCGAGTTCTTCTACCACCTTTTTCAAGCTACTTGGATGGTTCAGAAGTATGGAAAGGGCCCAGATTATAGTCCCGGTTGTTGTATCAGTTCCTCCAGCAATCAGTGCCTGCCACAAAAAACAACAAAAGGGGAAGAAAGGGTGCGAATCCATCAGTAACATGGATTTTTGTTTAGTATGAAGTTCAGGTGTTGAACCGTTCAATACCATGATTGTGGATTTGCAAACTGTATGTGGATCATATCCAGCAAGGTCTGCATCTTTCAGGACAGAGAGCAACACATCTATGAAGTCTTTTTGTTCATCATCAGCACAGGAAGTGGTTCTCCTCTTGCTACGATGTTCCTCGATCCATTCTTCAGCAATTTTGTCCAATTCTACATGGAGTTTCTTTATGATCTTCTCATGTCCTCCTATGTCCAGAAACCCAAGAAATGGAAACAAATCTCTCACAACAAGCTGCCCTGCATAACGAAAGAAGTCTCTCATTAGCTTCTTGCATCTCTCAGCCTCTCGCTGCTCGTCGTCCTCTGCAGCATGCATGCCAAGGTACCTCTTCCCTACAACCATCCGGAGCATAATATTCAAATTCATATCCCCAAACACCTTGTTCATCTGAACACGGACTCTGTCCTTCCCGCCTTCACTTCTGTTGTTGCTCTTCTCCCACAGCTTGTAGAGACTCTTCATGGTCCCTTCCACTTCAGAAGTCCTGACATGTTTCAGCAGCTCGATCCTGCGACTGGAGAGCAGCTCCAGGGCTGTGATTTTCCTCATCTGTCGCCAATATTCACCGTACGGGGTAAATGAAAAGTCGGCTCGGTTGTTGCTCAGAATCGTCGAGGCAGTGAGATCGGGGCGCGACGATACGGCTGCATCGTGGGTGGTGAAGAGTTCCTTGGCCAGTTCGGAAGTGCTGACCACCAGAGTTGGGAACAAACCGATCCTGACCATGAAAATTGGCCCGTATTTGTCTGCCAAGGCTGCAAATTTCAAGTGGGGAAGCTCAGTTCCCGCCAGGGAAAAGAGGTGACCTATAACAGGCCAGGATCGCCCTGCTTCTGGGACCTGCTTGCCTTTTCCTGATTTGGGTCTCCTCAAGAAGAGAGAGTAATAAGAAAGAAAAAGAACAAGGGCAAGTATTAGAGTTCCAGCGTTCATGAATGGAGGGATGAGATTCATTGCAGCAGGTTGAACAGCAGAGCAAGTAAGTCTTTCTTCTTCTGTTGGTTTGAATTTATGGGTTTGGAAATGCCAATTGATTGATTGAGAATAGTTGGTATCAACTCTCATGAACATCCTTTTCAAATTGCTTACGCATTGGAGATTCAGAAGATCTTTTTTTGACATGGTAGGATTCGACAGTCTCCCACTCACTGTAACCCCACTGATCATTTCTTCATCTTTTTCATTCTTTATTATAAAGATCAATTTAGTCGAAATCAGCAGTACATGATGGAGCCCAATTTCATCCGCGTAAGTTACTATTAGTAATTAGTGCGACGAGAACGCCTACAACTCCGGCCGGAACTTGCCGGCGATTTTGGTAACCCACTGCCTCAACATCATTTCCAAGCTTGAGAAGACAGAGAGCTAGGGCTGTAAATGAGCCAACCTGCTCATAACAAGTTCATTGTTCGACTCAAAAAATGTTTGTTTGAAACTCGGTTTGTTTATGAGTTTGAGATAACCATTGTTTAGCTCGTGAGGCTCACGAGACAACTGGATTTGGTGGCTCGTTGAGTTCAACTCGTGAGCTAGCTCGTTTTGAGCTTATAAGGTGGCTAACGAGTCACTAGCAGGTATTAGCAAATCGATCTATAATTTATGAGTTGATTTGTTGATAGTTCATAGATTTGTTAGGTTATATGTGTCACAATATAGTACGGTGACTTTTGATTATGTGAACAACTATATATATCATTTATAATTTTAAATGAAACTTATTTACTATATAGATTGTTTATCTATTAATTACAGTTAAATGACATCATATGAATTAGTTTATTTGAGTTTGGCAGGAGAGCGGTGGGGAAAGGAGAACTCTCCTCAAGTTGACTCCAGCATTCTCTCTCATGTCAACCGGTTCGCCCGTCCGGTTGGCCAAATTAAACTCCTGAACCAGTCTAGCCAGCACAAGAACCAGCGTTTGCATGGACAGCGTCACACCAGGGCAGACTCTCCTCCCCGAACCGAACGGAATCAGCTCAAAATTCTGATCTTTGACGTCCACATGGCCGTGGGTCGCCGTGAGGAATCTTTCCGGTTCGAAAGCCAACGGGTCGGGCCAGAATTCGGGATCTCTCTGGATTTTCCATGCATTGATGATCACTCGAGTGCCGGCGGGGACGAAGTAGCCGCCGACGGTGCAGTCTTCCAGTGCCTCCCTTAGCCCGGAGGGAGGAGCAACTGGGTAGAGTCGCAGGGTTTCTTTGATGATGGATTGGATGTACACGAGATTCTTTAGGTCTGATCCGTTGACTCGTCGATCGCGACCGACTTGAATGTCGAGCTCGTTCTGTGCCTTGTTTAGCACGGTAGGGTTGTTGAGCATCAGGGAGATGAGATCGCCCATGATAGTGTGAGGGAGGAAGTGTCCGAGCCGCCCGTGATCAGAGACTACATGACAACAAGACGAGATTGTAAGTAAATGTTTACTTATAAGATACATAATCGAATCTCTTTTAATAATTTGAGAGGATTGATATTAGTTGATTTTCTTTTTTATAAAGACAGTTAAATAAAGTAAGAAAGAGTCCTTTAAGCCTTATCAATTTGCGTTTCAGATAAATATTTTTGACAAGATCACTAAATTCGACGCGCAACTTCCCGAATCTAAATAAACACAACAATTACTCAGAAAAAAAAAACTACGGTACTCAATCAGTAACCCTATAGGAAAGATTTGGCCACATCTAGAAATATCACAACACCTAATTTACTATTTTTGTGTGTGTTTATTCTCGTAAATTTGTACTTACCACGCAAGTAGCCTTGATGTTGGAATCCGCATCGCAAGGAAAGGCAGCAAATCTGCCTTCCTCTTCAAGCCCAAGCATCAGTGGTAATACCACGAACAAGGGATTGGTCTAGTGGTAATACTACTAGCCTTGAACCTGGAGGTCCCAGGTTCAAATCTCTTCAGTAGTACCTAATTAAAAAAAAACCTATATAACCCTTATCTAAAAAAAAAAAAGAAATCCTCCTCCTCCCTCTCTCCCCCCGCCGCTCTCCGCCGCCGGTGCTCCCCCAACCAGCCGGCAAACACGCCGTCCATCTCCTTCGCCGCCGCCTTCATCTCCCTCAACCTCCCGGCCTCTTCTCCGCCGCTCCCCCGCCTCCCGGCCACCACGTTGTATGTCATGTCAGCAAACCACTCGTCCAACCTCACCTGTAAAACGTTAAAAAGAAACTTAACAAATCATTTTCCAACAACTAGAATTATAATGATAAAGTGATTTCTTCTATTATCGGAATCTTCAACCATAAAGTCATAGTGATCGTTTGGATAGAACAATTGTAAAACGAGACAATTTGACCAATTGTCTCACTTTACAAAATGAGTCATTTAAAGCAAGTTAATTCGAATTACCTATCCCACCCCAGATAATTGTAATTGCCTCAAAATAAGTCAATTTGAAATTTTCAAAACCAAATTGCTTCATCCAAATTTTATGCTGCCAATTTTATCAGAATGATCCATTATAATTTCTCAACCAAACGATCCCATAGTTTCGAATCCTAAACCCTCAATATAAACAATTTTTGTTAACACAAAACAATGACATGCCAGACCTGTACAAACTGAAAGCCCTTCAAACGTTCGTAGAGCTTTTCGATGCCCGCATCGAGCTCCGCCGTCACGGTCTCCACTCTCCATCAACAGGCCGAGGCGGCGGTTGGAGAGTAGCTCTACGACGAAGACCTTCCGCATCTCCCGCAAGTGCGGAGTCGAAGGGGCGAACCCGAAAGCGGCGTCGTTGTAGCACATGTGCTTCGTTGCGGTGGAGCGAGAGCGGGAGCCGATGGACCTGTCGTTTGTGGTGAAGCACTCTCTGGCCACGTCGGCGGAGCTGACGACGAAGTAGCGGAGGTGGCCTAGCCGGACGGTGAAAGCTGGTCCGTTTGCGTCGGCCATGGAGCCGAGAGTGCTGTGGAGGAGCTTCCCGGCTCCGCCGAGGTGGTAGAGGTGGCCGACGATTGGCCACCCGCCGGCGGCCGAGGGAGCTGGCGGTGGTGATGATGACGTGGAGTTTTTCTTGTGGTTTTTTATTAGGGATGTTAGGAAGTAGAGGCATGGTAGGAGGGTGTAAAGAAGAGGATAGTTAAGATGCATTTGGTGGGTATTTGTAAACTAAAGTAGTGGTTAGTGTACTCATAAGTTATGTTTTTTAATAATTTGGCTTGTGATATGGTATAATAATTGATTTGTTATTGAATTCATGTGTTCAAATTTTCACGATGCAAGTATTTAATGTTGTCTTTGAAGTATGTTATATGACATGCCTATGTAAATTTCAACCTCAAAATTTATTTTCATATGAAAAGAAGTATACAGAAGTGGTTAAGTGTTATATATAATTAATTATGCATTTTAAAAGATAACTAATAACCAAAGGTGGCAACATTATTTACTATGCATTTTAAAAGATAACTAATAACCAAAGGTGGCAACTTTATCTATGGATTATGTGCTCTGTGTTTTGTTTTATTGAGAAAGCTAAATGCTTCTGATTCGTTTGGGATGCTGGATTTGATGTGGACATGTTTTCTACTCTTTTGTCTCTTGCAATCTCTTGCAAAAGAAGAAAATAAGGAATAAGGATCTTTTAAATGGTGATTTTAAAATGAATTTAGATCTTAGAATTTTTTTTTTTGTGGGTGTCCTTATGAATATCATAATTAATTGAAAACTAAAGCTACTCTTTTGTCACTCCGGACTGTTCATCAATGGGACCGGTTACTATGACAACACCCCTTGTGTTGTTATTGTAACAACACTAGTTTCCAACCAATAAGAAGTTAGGGTTGTGATGACTTTTTATTAGATGAGCTGACCTAGTATAAAATCAAAGCAGGGGTATAATTGTCATTATAAAAATGTTTAAATAAAAAAAAATATTTTTTTATTTTTGGCCCAAAATTTGGTCGCCGGAATCTGGTCGCCGGTCACCGGAATATGCTTTTTGTCGTCGAAATATGCTATTTTGTCATCGAAATATGCTCACCGTCACCGGAATATGCTCACCGTGGTCGGAATATGCTTACCGGCGTTGGAATCTAGTCATCGGGGCCAGAATATGCCTATCGGCGCCGGAATCCGGTCACTGACGGTCATCGGAGTTTATCGGAGTTTGGTCAATGGTTTTTGTTGACCGGTCAATGGTCAACGATCACCGGATGTTATGGTTAGCATTATGAGATTTATGGTTTGGTTTCTCATATTTTTTTATGCCTTTTGTGGTTTGCTTTATCGTGTTTGTGGTTTGCATTGAGAAGTTTCTAGTTTGCTTTCAAAAACTTTGTGGTTTGCATTGTAAGGTTTTTGGTTTGTTTTAATATATTTGTGGTTTGCATTAGGACGTTTATGGTTTGCTTTTTTGTGGTTTGATTTACTATGTTTGTGGTTTGTATTAGCCATTAGGAGGTTTCTAGTGTGCATTCGCAAATGTTGTGGTTTGCTTTATGGGGTTTGTGGTTTGTTTTAGAGGATTTGTGGTATGCATTAGTAGGTTTCTGGCTTGCATTAAAAAGTTTATGGTGTGCTTTCAAAAATTTTATGGTTTGATTTGTGGGGTTTTTGGTTTGTTTTAATATATTTGTGGTCTGCATTAGGAGGTTTGTGGTTTGCTTTACCGTGTTTGTGGTTTGCATTATGAGATTTCTGGTGTGCTTTCGGAATATTTGTAGTATGCTTTATGGGATTTTTGGTTTGTTTTAGGGGATTTTTGGTTTGCATTATGAGGTTTCTGGTATGCGTTTTGTGGTTTGTTTTTATTGTGTGTGTGATTTGTATTAGGAGGTTTATGGTACTGATAACTAACAAATGAATACAAAATTGTTAAAAGGCTACAACCCCATTTGACACCAAACTACATATGACCACAAGTATACTCTATAATTAGCAAAATTAAACAACACATCTCAATAGATATACCACAAATATCAACTTAAAACTTGAAAAATGTTAATAAAAAAAAACTTGAAAAATAGCTTTCCCAGGATCAATGATTCTCTTCACTGTCCATTCAAATTGTCATTAGAAACAACAAATTGAATTCGAGTACTAATGAAAGAAAGAAACGAGATGGAGAGAAAGAAAAGCAATTGAAGCATAGACTCTTAGTCCGCGGAAAGCCTTGGAATGAATATCCACAACTCGTCCGCAGCTGGTACCACCATTGCGAATCTCTGGGAAGGGGGAAGAGCGGCAGAGTTGTAGGACACAGAATTTGAGAGATATGAGCTGCAGCGAGGCAGCATAGGAGCCTCGATGAAGTCGTCCGCAGCCGGCGCCGCCATGGTCGCGGAGCCTTCTACTGAACACCAATTGGTACGCCGGCAATGACGGATCCATGATTCTCGCCAATTGCATCTTCCACTCAAGCGGGTGCGCGATTCTGCTCACCAACAAGCCCTCGCTGAAGCACCACGAGGCTCAAGATCCTCTTCAAGCCAGGGTACCCTGACACCCCACCCCTGCTCCAAGATTTGCCACAAGTATACAGACGACGCAACGCCAACAACAGCTACAAGGACTACCGATGCTCCTATAGGCTGTTGTTGCGAACTCTGACCTGCAACCACACTGGCCTTGAGAGTTTGGATTGATGAATACGAACTCTGACCTGCAACACAATGCAAAGGAAAGCAGATACATATTTATATCCAACGGGAATACATGAGAAAGCAGGCTGCAACATCGAGATGAGAGAGCGGCAGCGACGCGTCGCAGTCCCCGTCGAGCTACCTGTTCGGGGTGGCAGGAGAAGGGATACGGGACAATGGGGCGGCCTGCGGGAGGCAGTACAAGCTCTGGTGCCTCAGCGCGGTGACGGCGAGTTCGTGCCAGTCCGACCAGACGATTCAGGTGAAGGAAATGAAGAAGAGACTGAGATATGAAGGATTGGGGATCGAAGGAGAAAAGACACGCACTTTTTACTTTTTATTCTAATTTTTCATTTTTTTATTTCCTGTAATTTTACCCTTATACCCTTGTTGTTACAGTAACAACAAAATGGGTGTTGTTATACTATCCGGACCCTTCATCAATCAGTGTGTCTACCAACTTTTGCCTCTGCGTGTCGTTTGCAAGTTGGGAATCCAAATGTTTGAAAGATGGGAATCCACATGTTGTGTTTAGTTAATACATGTAATTAGAAAAATTTGTCATTTTTTATCTTAAAATAAAATAAAACAAAATACTTATGTTAATGTCTCGCTGGTGTAGGAGGTAGACATTAGGGATTCGTATGAGTCGTGAGTAAGCCTTAATAGCAATGTCCGATGAGTTCGTTTATTAATGAGTAGTAACAACAGTGGGGTAGAGAAAGCATGGAGAGAGAATGATTTCGTCTTAATGATCGATCTCCTTCTCTCCGTAGTAAATGCTCTATTTATAAGTCCTATTGTGGTGGGTGAGTAGTACACGTGATGGGACAAGGTGTCGGGCGTGATCGTGGCTCGCTACGTCGCGCGTCAGTAAGAGGTGTTCTGAGATTGTTGGGCTACGAGCGACAACTTAGTCTTATCCCAAACAATTGCCCCCCAACAGGAGTTAGTTCTTGGGCCGACCTCCGCTGGTCCTAGTAATAGCAGGTGCGCATGGCAATATGTAACTTCACATGTGAGGAGTGGGACGTAACGAGGAATGTTGTTATGCGTGCATGAAGTTCTTTTGTTATTGGCGTTGAAGAGTTATGTGTGTGTGTGTGTGTGTCCAAATACTACTATCGCGTATCTTTGAGCGTGAACAGGGGATGTTGCCCCCCAAAGGAGAGAGATCCTAGCACTAGCTTCTGCTACGTCCGAGATTCTCGATTGTCCCTAATGACACATTTCTGTTACAACTACCACGTGTCCTAATACCAATGGTCCGTGTGTGCGGTGTTTTTGAATTTCGAAATTTTTGGCTACGAGAGTGTTGTTGCCGAGGCAGCAAAATTCGAAATCCGAACTTGATTTGACATATCTCTCGTTTCTCTATGCTTTATTCGACGGTTTGTCTTCCTCTTTTCGTCAGTATAAATGGGCATTTGCTAGTCAATCGGTGTCCATTTTCCATCCACTTGTTTCCTAATGATCGTGTTCCTTTTCCTTCATTTTCGACCCTTATTCTCTCGATTGCTTAACCCCTGTGTTGTTCCTGATGGCTGCGGAGAAGAAAGCGGTAGAGGTTGTGGTCGACTTCGACGAAGAAGGTAACACGTTCAATCTAGAGGTGGATTTTTGGTTTTTTCGGTTATAGCCGGTAATCGAATGGTCGGTTATCGGTTAACCGAAAGGTCGGCCCCCCAACCGACAACCAACCAAAATAGGCTTCGGTTATCTCAGTTATCGGTTAACCGCACCTCCTCCAGGACCAAAATCATCTCGTCCAGCCTTTGATAACCGACCGAATTTCGGTTATGGGTTAGTGGATAACCAACCGGTTATCGGTTTAACCAATCGGTTAACTGGGAACCGGTAAACGAACCTCCACCCCTAGTTCAATCTATCTAATGCACCTTTAGATTTATCTGGTTTGGATAGTCAATTATTCGATGGAGAGATGCTTCATATGCCCTCCTCTGGCTCGGCTAATGGTAATGAACTTCTACGTAGCGCGTCCTACAAAGTTAAGCGCTGTGAAGTGAGGGATCTCGCCGGGGAAGGCACTTCCAAGGCTGAGAACACCCCCCATGGGGTTTTGATTATCCGTCGAGAAGTGGTTGGTTCTCCTGGGCGGTCTGACTCGCTCGAAATTTCCGAGACTGAATCGGATCACCCTTTGGTGGTAGAGCAACCGCAGCCAGTGGTTCGCGTGTCAGAAGCGGTAAGACGGCTTGGGTTTGCTAACTTAGGTGCTAATTATCGCATTAAAGATTGGGCCGATAAGTTCGAAGCAGGGTACGTGCCCAGTGATAATTTGGTGCGCGAACCAGATCAGGTTTCAGAACTTAGAATGGCCGAAGTGGAGAGGTACATGCACGGGCTTTGGCTTCCGCCTGCTTGGGAATATGTCATTCCTAGTGCGCGTATCCGTATTGGTAATTTCTCAAAGGGTGGATCGGGGTATACACGGAGTATTGGCGAATGGGTTAAAGTTTCCCCTTGAGCCGCTCTTGTGTGCTCTGT